TTATATTGTTATATCCTACAATATAACATATTTTGACATGATGGATACAAGTTGAACATTTTATATTGTTATATCCTACAATATAACATATTTTGACATGATGGATACAAGTTGAACATTTTATATTGTTATATCCTACAATATAACATATTTTGACATGATGGATACAAGTTGAACATTTTATATTGTTATATCCTACAATATAACAATGTTCATATAACGATTATCATGTTGTACTATTGTAGAATAATATTGCCAAAATAACTATTGTAAACCTATTATCACACAACATGATAATCATTATATAATGTAATAATAGGTTTACAATAGTACAACATGATAATCATTATATAATGTGATAATAGGTTTACAATAGTACAATATGATAATCATTATACAATGTGATAATAGGTTTAGGATAGTACAACATGATAATCATTATACAATGTGATAATAGGTTTACAGTAGTACAACATGATAATCATTATATAATGTGATAATATAGTTCCCAGATTATGTTAAGCTAAAGATACAAAGCATTAAACCTTCACGTCATTTCTATATTGCAGGGATGTGTTTGATTATTTCAGAACTTTGCGCAAAGTTTCACGGGGGCTATATGCGCACAGCCTTCCATAATTGTGAAGTGATAGACTAGAGAAAAGACAACAGTACCCCATTGCCAACAGTTGAGCTACTCTTGTCTCCAACAGTACCCCACTGCCAACTCTTGGGCTACTCTTGTCTCCAACAGTACCCCACTGCCAACTCTTGGGCTACTCTTGTCTCCAACAGTACCCCATTGCCAACGCTTGGGCTACTCTTGTCTCCAACAGTACCCCACTGCCAACGCTTGGGCTACTCTTGTCTCCAACAGTACCCCACTGCCAACTCTTGGGCTACTCTTGTCTCCAACAGTACCACACTGCCAACGCTTGGGCTACTCTTATCTCCAACAGTACCCCATTTCCAACGCTTGGGCTACTGTTGTCTCCAACAGTACCCCACTGCCAACTCTTGGGCTACTATTGTCTATAACAGTACCTCACTGCCAACTCTTGGGCTACTCTTGTCTCCAACAGTACCCCACTGCCAACGCTTGGGCTACTCTTGTCTCCAACAGTACCCCACTGCCAACTCTTCGGCTACTCTTGTCTCCAACAGTACCCCA